GCTCCGTGTCCCCGGAGAAAACGCCACTGACCCTTGCTGAAAGCTCAAGGCAATCGAGGATTCTGGTTACACCATGGAGATGAACGGGGAATGGCAGGCAATTTCTACGAGTTGTATTTATAACCGCTCAGCTTTAGAAAACGACACTCGGCAACAGTGTACAAATTCCAGCTGCGATGGACAGAGTGGGAGTGAATTTTCTTAGGGGAGCGATGTCGGTTTTTTTTTCCCAACAAATGGTCCTCGGCTAAGCATTTCACACGCTGCTTTAATTGCTGCAATCGAGAACCGAATTGCTAGATGTTTACACACACACATTCGACTCAATTCACACGCTCTTGACTGTTGCTTCTTTGTTCGATTTCCATACATGAACGTGCCGATGTCTTCATCACCAACAATGGGGAAAAATTGGCAAGGCAGTACGTGTTGTGGCCACTTTGTAAAGATGTGAATTGAGTCTTCAAAGTATTCCCATTAACGTGGCCGATATCACGGCTATTATTTTTAATTACATTTTAGAAAATATGTCAAGCAGATTTTAGCCAGGGGCTGTATAATAAGAAAGACATTTTTTTATACGTAATTAAAGATCTTCCGTGAAGGTTACTCATTAAGATCTCATACCCAGTCTTGCTTTTGCAAGCTGCTTTCATAGTGCAAATGACTGGGACTAAGCGAGCCATGAGTCCACTTAGCAGCATACACTATTGCAGAGAGAGAGAATCCTACAACTGTGCCAAACATCCTGAATCAACTAACAATGATCCAACGCTTTTAATGAATTTATTATTCCTACCTCCATTATATTCTGTCAAGATTTTTTTTGTCTTGTTGCCAAGACTGAGTAAGAAGGTTGTGACTGCTCGTTTGCACGCTGCCAGCACGGCTGATTTCACGGCACAAAGAGTAACAGTCAATTCCGACTGGGGACGGAGCGTGAATTACACGTGCACTTAAAGAGCGGAGGAGGCATGCCAGCTGGCCCCAGCGACGGCCACGTTCCCTGCCAGCCGCTCAGCTGTTTTTTTTTGCTGCACGGAATTCCCCGTTGTCACCGGCACGGTGAAACTCCACTGCCACCACAGCTTCTGAGGACTCGCTTTGCGGGGGGAGGGGGGTGAAGTTACAAAAAGCAAAACAGAGGTTGTCCTATGGAGAGATTCACCACTCCCCTCTCTCTTCTATAGGAATGTAGAATTTCTACAAACTGTCTCAAAGGCTACAGACAGGAGATGAGCACTGGTCCCAGTGCCCATTTATTTGAGAGCAATAAATCAACTTCGAGACTTTTTATTGTCGATTGAGTTTTTTTTTGAATGGCAGTGCTCGGGTTTGCCACAACCAGGAGGTACAAAACTAAAACGAGCACCTCAGGGAAAATCATAGGAAGCAGGAAGAAGAACCATTGCCTGAAATGTCACCTTTAATACACGTTTCCTTTTAAGGCGGTGTTACTGAGAAAAATGTTGAGTTTTTATTTTTATTTGTGCCAATGTAGGATCACCAAATGATGTGCTGCGTTAATATCCAACTGACAAAAGCCGGGACTTTTAAATGTCTCGGGAAAACTTACACACTTCCCAGGACAACTACCTCCACGAGAGGATGTCCTGGGAAAACCAGGACAGGTAGCAACCCTAGCTGGTGCAGTCGCTTCAAAGCATCTGAGGGTTGTCACCTGTCCTATAAATTATGTCGGTCTTCCCGGGATATTAAAAGTCCTGGATTTTTGTCAGCTGGGCATTAATACACCACTCAAGACAATGTATCGAAATATAGTTCTCCCTCCTACTGGTATTTGTAACGTCACGACAGGCCCCACTCACCAGCAAGACTCTTAACTCCCAGTATGCCTCTTCACACGCGATTAATTTAGGATTAATATTTGGTGTTCTCATTATGTCATTCAAGTCCGAGTGGATGAGGCAACGGTTCTCGCTCGTGCGGGATCATGATCACAAGGTCAGGACTTCAAATGCTGCACCGTGCTTTGTACTGTGGAACTCGGAGCTGCGTTCGCACGATTTTGGCGTAGAAATGAGGGCGCAAAAATATGTAAAAGACACCATCGGGCCTAGTGACGCGACACTTCCGCTGGTAAAATATGAGAATATTAAGCTTTTTTCCCATCCAATGACGGGTGTATTGCAGTAAATCTGAAACTTGCAAGCGAAAAGCAGACCGCGACGTGATATTCATTGCATTAATGCGTGTGCAATTTGTAAGGCCGCCGTGACACAGACTTATTTCATTTTTAGGTTATAATCCCTTGTTCATCATGACGTCCTTTTTACTTCTATGTCTCAACAGCGTTACGGAGATCACGTGACGTGAAGGTTCTGCCTTTGTAGTGCGGGTTGTCAGTTGACGCCGAGGAGGGGGGAGGAAGCACCTCGCCCCCCATGTGAAGTGGCGTCACACGATAATTATTATTAATGGAGGGGAGGTGTCCATTTGTAAGACGTCACCTCTTCATGATTATTAATGAGGGGGGGGCTGTTTGATGTGGAGTGACGTCACCTGCTCATGATAATGAATGGGGGGGGGGTTTGCTACGTGTGAAGTAACGTCACCCGCTCATGATTATTAATAAGGGGGGGGGGGGGGGATCCATGTGGAGAGGACGTCACCCGTTCATGATTATTCATGAGAGGGGCTGGCCGACGTGGATTGACGTCACGCACAGGACACACAGACATTCTTGGGTCATTATAGTAGTAAATATATTTATAAACTATACAAAATCCAAGTAAATGTTTTTCTACTGGTAATGCAGCTCTGGCAGAGAAAGTGAGGATGTTGGGTCGTCACAACACCCAGGGGCTGCCTGTTATTGAGACATTCTACCCTTTTGTAGATTCTGTTCTACAGAAGAATGGTGCTATTCGACTATGCTCACAGAAATTAATGGGACCAGCGTGGGTGCCGACACCGGCCTAGTGAAAAGGCCCATTGTGGCATGAGGACTTTAATGAGTTTTTAGCCGTAGAGATGGCAATAGCTGTACCGTCAGCCTTTATCAGCACCACAGCCACTTTATTGAAAGGTGTGTGCACACAAGACATGCCTTCATGCTGTGCATCGCTCTCAACTCAGTCCATAAGAAGAATGGCTTCAGTATGGTGTGTGTATGCATGTGCGTGTGTCTGTGTAGGTAAGTATCGCCACCGAGGAGACAAAGGCGGCCGGGTGTGATGCTGGCCACCCACCCCCTCGTGAACCGTGTCGGCCTTAATAGGTGCTCGCTAACAGCACTTGCCCCAACAGTCTGTTGCGGCTATACAGAGGATCTTTGTATTTGTGTGCACATACCTGAGATTAATCCCCGCCAGTTATATCAGGTCAGAATAACTCGCGTCGGTTTAACACGTACACACGCACGCACGCAATGCACGGCTGGCAATACAACTAACGCCCATTCCCAATGTGTGCATTACTACTGCTGCAATGGTTTCCGCTCTGTGTGTATGCATTCACAGTTTCAATATATGTTTGCAGCGCATGCACGTCTATCCATACGGGCATGTGTGTACATGTGAGTGTGCGTGACAACCCACTGCCCCAACTGGCATAGTTGGGAGCACAGCGAGTGCAAGCTTCCAGCCGTCAGTCAGTTAACCCAAAACACCTGGGTCTGTCCTGTGACCTCCTGCCAGCGAGCCTTCCACACTTCACGTGGCCTCCGAGTGCACCTCGCCTGGTACAAGCAGCCACTTGGTCAATGGCGTCTGTTGTTGTGCATGCCTTCATTTGTGTGTGTGTTTATGTCAACGACACAATCATATCGTGGTGACGTAGCGTATATATCACCACAATTTATCGTGTCACATTGCTTTTAAAATAAGCACCTGGCAAGACATTTAGTGCCTGCAATGGTGAGATGAAAGTGGGCAGGCATAATAGGTCCTGTGCACCTTGTACGGATTACCAGCCTTTATAGGTGCCTGCCAACAGCACCTGCCTCCAAATTCCACTGCATAGTCTACATTAGGGAATATTTGTCTTTTTGTCTGTGCACGAGTGGGCAGAGAGGAGCGTACATTGTCCCAAGGTGACATTGGCTTGCACGTGACTGCTCTTGTGTCTGTGTGCGCGTGCTCACGCACGTGTGTTGCGTACCTTGGCATGAACGCACATGCACGTGCGCACACGAGCGTGTGTCTGTGTGAACACGTATACACGTGCATGCGCGATTGTGTGTGTGCATACATGTGCGTGGCGTGGCAGTGTGTACATATATGGATGTGCGCATGAAATTGTCCGTTCATTTTGTAAGTGTGCACACGTGTATTTGAGTGTGTGTGTGTGTGTAGCGGTTAGCGCGCCGCGCTACTAACCCAGCAGCACAAGTTCGATTCCCTCTCACAGCAAACACCAGTGACGATTATCTGAACCGGTCCTGGTGCAGCCAGGCATGGTGTTGGCCAGCCATCCCCTCCTGTGCCGTGCCGTGCCGGCCTTCATAGGTGCTCGCTAAAAAGCACTTGCCCCTACAGTCTGTTAAGGCTATACAGGGGAACTTTATCTCTGTATAAGCACATAGGTGCTTACAAAAAGCAATTTCCCCGACAGCCTATGTATCTATAAGGGAGGTTTTTTTCTTTGTACATGTGTGTGTAAATGTGTGTCTGCACGTGTGCGAGTATTGTGGGGAGCAGTAGTGTAGTGGTTGGAGCACTGCGCTATAAACACAGCCACCTAAGTTCAATCCGTTCCCACTCACGTTCAATCACAGTGGCGAATGTGACGGGTCCTGGGCCTCTCCTTGGTTGACTCAGCCTTAAATGAGTACAGTGCCTGGCGCGGTGTGTAAACATTGGCACTGGGGCGGCAAAAGTGGCCGGGCATGGCGCTGGCCACCAACCCACTGCCTCGGGTGTCGTGCCAGCCTACATAGGTACTCGCGAAAAGCACTTTCCCCAACAGTCCGTTCGGGGCTATACGGGCAACCGTTGTCTCTGTGGGTTTTGTGAACAACTTAAAAGGCGTCTCGGTACCTGCAAGCGTGCGTGGGTGTGGAATTCAAGTCCGGCAGGAGAGGTACGCTGGCAGCACTGTGAAGACACAGAGAGAGGGAGAGAGAAACACACAAAGTGTTACCCTTGAATTGTGCACCCATTCAGCAGGCATGGCACTTTGTTTGATCGTACATTTTGCGCACGCACACACGCTACAATGCAATGCACATTCATTGTGCTTAGTCCTAGACTAAGGGTTCATAACAAAGTATGACTGACTCTAATGTCATGTTCTTTCTGTTGATAATGAAATGTGAATCCGCACGAGAGCCTTTGTTGTCTCGAATGAAACTTTTTTAATATCTATATTAAGGCAAGGCCAAATACCCATAATGCCATTTAACATTCTGAATCCCCTCTGAATTTGTGATCACGATATTTTTCCACGCTTGCAAGAAGTCACTTCCTGAAACTTCAGCTTATCGTGTTTCCGTAACGAGGCAGTGTTTTTATTTTTTTACGAAATCGGCGGTAGCACACTTTCATCCACTGCATCCACATCGATGCCAATTGCAGTCAAACATACAGGCCGATAATGTTAAACAAGGCATCCAGGCAGCATGGGTTGGAACGTTCCTCCCACTCGCCTTTAACGACACCCCAAATCCTCCCATTGAGGAGACACGAGCAAAAAAAGTCGCGCACCTTCACGTTTTGGTATTTAAAACTCGGTGAAGTTTATTTTGTTCGACCAGGTGAAAACTCCAGAGGCAAGGGATACGGTCTCATTTTCAAGGGTGACCTCACAGAGCGAACGGCTTGACCACGACATAAGGGATTGGTGCCAGAAAGATATGCCTATATGCTGTAGCAGTGCCACGAGACAGAGGGAAGTGGAAACCAAATGACGAAACGTGCAGCGGACACCTACGGGCTCTCTGCCCATGGATCGTGATGATGACGACGACAACGACGACATTGCAGGACATTTTTTTTTTATTTTGACGTATTTGGACCCTGACGCCGACACGCAATGACCTACTCTTACGAATGACGGTCGGGGGATCTTTAATGTCCACTGTGAAGCAAACGGTGCGTGAGATATATATTGCCATGGTTACTACAACCACAGCATTAACCAGGGCGACCGATGGATTCAAACCGTGAACCCTGTGTAGCAAGCAGCGAATGCGCTGCCGCACGTCCACGCCACCTCTGTGCTAAAGTGAATGCACGTTTGTGTACACGTATAAACGCAGGTTACAGCCTCAGGCAAAAACATCGGAGGCAGATGCTCCAAATATATATTTTTTTATTTTGTGAATTATTATACTTTTCGTAAAAAGTCATTCGGCAAAGGATGACCGAGTTTCATGGAAAAGCTAAATATCACCGTAAGTGTGCGTGATCTCAGATCTCCAAAGCCAAGCAGGTTTTTGAGCCTGGATAGACTTTGTATGGGCAACCACCACCACCAGCGGAGGGCAGCTCAGCACAATCCATCGTTGTACTACACTACGCTCGAACACCTATGCTCCCGGCCGTTCACAAACCTGCGCTGACCCGCGTGGTGAAGTACAGTCAAATAACCCCGATCACTCGCAAGACACAGGGAGGGGGTCCCTCATCCAACAGTGCATTGACAAATGGGCCGTACATAGACACATAAACGGTGAATACATAATCTGACATCTTCAAAGGGAACACAGATACACAGTTATTGTTACACGAGTGAACTTAGACGTCAAATAACTCAACTTTTTGGCAGATTGGCCTTCTTAGCAAACGCCCCTGAAGGCTAGCTAGCCAAAATATTGCGCGCATAACATCAAGATCTTTCTTTCTCATCGGCGACAGTAAAAGGCCCTGCTGTTGTTTTTTTTTATTTAACCTGTTATTCTAACACAGATATCTGGTTATTTATCAGAGGTTGTTACAAATGCAGTTTCGCAATGATTTTCATGTTTTACCTTTCGCATCCAAACAAAATACGATGTTTTTTTCACATTCCGCGCATATCTCTTGAGTGTGTGTGTGGTATCACGTGAGGATTGCCGTGCACAATTACAAAATAAACGATAACAGCACGAGTATAGTCAACTGTTTGGGCTATGGTTAAAAAGAAAATCCCCCCCAACGACGACTGTTCTTGCCCACACATCGCCCCCAGAGGCCACGGCGTTTTGGAAGAGCTTGCCGCAGCTCTCCCGGTTGGTCTCGGGTGCGAATCCTCAACCCACACACGCGCGCGTTTTCCCAAAACCGCGATTTACCAAGTGAGCGGAGCCGCGGTCATCGGCGACAAAGGCCGGCAACAAGGTCCAAGTACATTGAACGAGAAAAATGACACCCTCCACTTTTTGTTGGTCGAACATACCAGCCGATAATGTGAAACTTTAATACGTTCTCTTTGATTTAAAAAAAATATATATTTTTATCGCACGTTCTGGCCTATGCAAAGCCCAGGTAAGCGGGCAGGAAATTCACCGTACCCCCCCCTCCTCCTCCTCCACGGCCGTCCAAGCGAGATGGGCTCAGTGCAAAAGCTCCCATCACCCGCTTCTTCTTAACTATTATTATTCTTCTTATTATTAGTTTTTTTTTTAAATAACTATGGCTTGAATCATCCGGCTCGTGTACATCTGCAATGAGTGGTCGAGTAGCATCTGCTCGATTCTGTATTTAGTTTTGTAAAATATTTTCCACCGTGAGATGCTACACTGAAACTGCTGAATATTAACTTTGATGAAACTGTACTATTTGAGTAAAAAATATATGTATATTTATTTACATTTGTTTTTTGTTCTCATTGAAATTAGTCTTTTGCACACTAACGCATGATAAATACACACAGTCTTGCACATACATACTGCGTGTGTACAGAAGAGAAAATATAAGCGTGCACAGTATTTTCCAGACACATTTGATAATTACGTAATGTATAGTAACGTTTAACAATTACACGGTTATCGAATTTAGACGTAATTTCCTTTAAAACACTCCAAGTATCATATAGATGGCTAGCATTGTTGCATTGCTATGCACTTCGAATGGCAGTAATGTAGAAATCCGCAAGTTAATCGATTTCAAATAAAGGCAGATGCTTATTTTCGTGACTTTTTAGAGGTACCGTTTCCCCCCCCCCTCCACATTCTCTCTCTTGAGCGACTTGTTTTACGGTGGAATTTAGTGACAACCTTGTTTTAAAAAAAAAGACCCCATCTCCACAGTTTTCATCTACATTAGCTCACCGTCACAGAAACCCCGTGACAGAAGCAGACCTGTAAAGCGACCTCCCGCCCATTAGAGTGCTTTAAACGTCACATACACTTTCCGTCAAATGCGTTCGAGATGACGGGAATGCGACATTAAGTTCATTCAGCGCTTGTCCACTGGGTACTCCAGGGCCATCAGCGGAAGGGTGCGGCCTCGAGAGAGTGGTTTGTGGTGTTGGTGCCTGCTCGCCACGGCACGCAGGTGCTGCCCGGGATGGCACAACCCGCCACGTGCAGTACTTACGTCTGTCTGTCTCTCTGTCTGTCTGTCTGTCTCTCTATCTGTCTGTCTCTCTGTCTGTCTATCTGTCTCTCTGTCTGTCTATCTGTCTGTCTGTCTGTATCTCTGTCTGTCTGTCTCTCTCTGTCTATATCTCTGTCTGTCTGTCTGTCTCTGTGCCTCTCTGTCTGTCTCTGTGTCTATCTGTCTGTCTCTGTGTCTCTCTGTCTGTCTGTCTCTCTCTCTGTCTCTTTGTCTGTTTGTCTGTCTGTCTCTCTGTCTGTCTGTCTCTTTGTCTGTCTGTCTCTTTGTCTGTCTGTCTCTGTGTCTCTCTGTCTGTCTCTGTCTGTCTGTCTGTTTGTCTGTCTCTCTGTCTGTCTGTCTGTCTCTCTGTCTGTCTCTCTGTCTGTCTGTCTGCTGGCCCTTGAAACGCTGCACTTTGGTGTCAAGACTCATTTTCAGGCACATCCTGCTTTTAGATATTTCACCTTTGATATTGATTTTTCTTAAATAAGACTAAACTCAACTTATTCTTAGCTCTTTCGGTAAAGTCACGTTGAAGGGAAACAATAAAATAATAAAATATATAATAAAATATATATTTTATTGTTTCCCTTCAACGTGACTTTACCGAAAGAGTTAAGAATATGAATTACTGCAGTCACGAAAGCTTTAAATCAAAATTTAAACTCAACTTGTTTTATGTTAGGGAATAGGTTTCCCCCTTTTTTCTGTTCTGTTTTTCTGTTAAGATGTTAAAACACCAAACAGTTTGGTGTTTTAACATCTTAACACCTGTTTTGTTGACAGAAAAAAAAAACTATTCTCATATTTTAGTACTGGCAAAGGGGAGGTCCCATGATGTTGTTTTACGTTACCGGGTGAAGTGCACCGACTTATACAGCTCTTTTTCACAAGCGATCTGGCCACAATTAAATAAATGCACGTCAATTTCTAAATGCGGAGGGAAAACATACAGAGACTGGTGCCAAAAGACCCACTCAACCACGGGGAGAGAGACGCGCAAACTCTAAATATACACAAGCAGGCGTCAAGAGCCAGGATCGAACCCAGGACCTCCTGCGCACACGCAGCGCTCTCTTGGACGGCTTCATTTCTACAATCAGAGATCTGCTGGCTGCCCAGCTTCGGTCACGGAGTTAGCCCACGGCGACCCCTCATCGTCGATTGCCGGCGATGACGCCAACGCACGTCACACGTTCTGCCGCCGCGACGCGTTTTTTGTTACAGGGGAAGAAGTGGCGCGGGGGGGTGAGGTTCACAATTACCGCAGGCGGTTTTTGCAACGTTCGCCGTTTGATTTGCGTCAACGTGCGACCATTCGTGCCCTGCGAACTGCACGTATAATAGCGCAGCAATGTGCGGCGGGTGTGGAGCGAGGCAGCGGCGATAGAGGGTTGGGCGCACTGCGCTATGGATCCGGCCACCTGAAGCGGATTCCCTCGCGCGGCCAACGTCAGCGGCGAGTGACATCCAAAATGGGTCCTTGCCCTCACCTTCGCCAACTCGCACGAGCGGAATGTGTGGAGAGAGGCCTCCATCCAGCAGTGGATAGACAAAGGTCTGAAACTTATGTGACG